TGACTTGCATTCACAAATCAGAAAATCGCATGGCAGAGCACCTAACTTAATCGGGCTTATGAGGCCCGGGAAAAAGATCTCGCGTATCTGAACTTTTCCCCCGCCTCGCACAGGCAGCTGCGTACGTGATCACACCTAGTTATTACCCTACCGTAACAAAGCAAGGTTCATATATCTCAGTACTCCCCCCCCCCCCTTCCCGAACACACACGCGCCCTGGGAACAAGATCGATCAGTGCAGACGCTTGCAACATGCACGTTGATGGCCTCTGAGTGCGTGTACAACCACCTAACTACGGTTATTTTTTCTTTATCCACAACCTTCTTCGATACAAACTTTTCTACGAACAGAGATTTGGTACGAGCAGTTCTGCAATAGAACAGCTGCAATATTTTATCGCTTTTATTACTTCTGTTTTTTCCAATATGCTTCTATTCCCCGACAGGCACTTTCCAGATTGTGTGAGATTGTGAGTCGTGCATTATACTTGCGGGGCTGCGAAAAATACAGCATGTACAAGAACCAGAGTTTGCACAGCCTAACGTAAATGTGACATTGCTCAATGCAGTGTGAATGCATAGCCTCCGAGATGGACTTCCACTTCAGGATGACTCCCCACGTGTGCGAAAAATATTTCAGAAAATTACCGACATCGTCTTGATGCACGTGAAATATCGAAACGCCTTCGTACTCGCATTGCATGTCGTTCCCTTAATTTGTGCCAGCTACACTCTATACATAAAAAAAACCACTTAGTAAGTTATTAGTCTCGACGTCTTTGAGAAGTGTGAGTCAGCATATATAATGCAACCTGTCGAGACAGGGTGCCGCCGCCAAAAGCGAGACGGGCAGTTAAATTTTATGTATGTTAAGGACTCGCACTGGAGACTACAAGATTGAATGACGCAGGAAAGTGTATGTCATGTATGCGTTAAAGAGATTACCAGCAGTCTGCTAGCTCGGCTGTGTGGTTTACTAGCGATGGAGAAGAGCAGTATAAGGTGTACGAGAACTTGGAGGTTTGACGAAATGCGCGAGTTAGGAGGAGTAATAAAGACAGCGGCAGATTCAGACCGTTGGGTGAGGCCTTCATAGTACAGCAATGATAGTGGTGGTAATGATGGTGATTGTGATGGTGATGATGGTGGCATGAAAACAGGGCATAATACAATTATGAATGCTGTATTTTCGTGTTCCAAAATCACTATGATTATGGAGCACGCCGCAGTGGAGGACTTTGGTGGATTAAAGTTCCACCATCCGGTGTTCATTAACGTGCGCCTCAACCTAAGTCCACAGATGTTCTTCGCATTTCGCCCGCATCCAAACGCGGCCGCCATGGCCGATAATCAAATCCGCGCCCTAGAACTTAGCAGCGCGGCAACCTGCGTGATAAGCTACCACGATGGTTCACGGGGCAAAGTAGATCTCTTTATTTTCACCACTTCTCACGTATAACCAACATGCTGCAGCAATCCTTGATGTATTCAGCACAGCACAGTGGTCTCTACTACACCCAAAGTCGCATAACGCTCAGCGCGTGCCCATGTGTTTTCATGTCAGTGATTTATCTTAACAGGAAGTATTTAGCGGAAGCAACAGACTATTCCACAGTATATTCCACAGTATATTGTCTGTTCGCAGGCTGTATGAGGCAGTATCTGCCGTGTATAGCATGCCCACCACCAGTACTTATTCATTCACTGTTTTCTTTTCTTTTTCTTTTTGTATTCCACTCCTAGTATTGCTTTCACGTTTTGGCAACATAAAAGTTTTGGTTCATTATGTACAGCTGTATGTAGGCACAACTTTCAAGACTTGTTTTGAAAAGCCTGGCCTACCCAATCTTTGACGTGAGCTGCTCTGACAGCACTGTTGCAGCTTTTTGAGAAGCTGCAATAAACGGTATTTTTTTTTCATTTTTCTTTATTCAAGAATTACCCCGCATTGCCCTTGGGCGTTACAGCAGGGGGGGGGGGGTTACAACAGATATACAAATAGATCTTCATTTACACAACAGACTTGTTCTTCAAAGAGCTTGTTCCATTCGGCTATAATTCGAAATTGTATAATTCTAAATTGTATGTATAATTGTATAATGTATAATTAGAAATTGTATAATTCGAACAATTGGGACCATTCACAAACAATGTTGGTTTGGGTTACTTGAACAGCGCTATATGACGTGACATATTTTGTTTGCTTTCTCACTCATAGTGCTGACGCACTCTTCTCCTTTTTTATTTATTTATTCGACACTCCCCTTCTCATTCCCGATTACATGGTAGCAAAGTGTGCTCAGATTTGGGTGCACGTTAAAGACCCCAGGTGGTCGAAATTTACGGAGCCCTCTACTACGGCGTCTCTCATAATCATATGGTGGACGCTAAATCCTACATATGAATCAATTAGATGGTAGCGAACTGCAGACCTATTCTGGCTAACTCCCGCATCTTATCTTCATTTTTCTCTTCCTCTCTTTCCGCAACACTTTGCGGCGAACTGAAAGAACAGGAGATGATTCCAGAAAGATTATTTTCGTGAGCACTTAGTACATGGCAGATGATTACACAGAGAAGAATCTAGATAGAGAGTGATACAATTTATTCGAGACGCCAATGACTTTCTTTATTACCTTCGGCGATCTCAGCTAATACTTTTTTTAGGTTTCTGTGGGCATTAATTATTAAAACATGGGTTTACAAAAGAATCATCATTAAAATAGATGACACCTGCAGTAAAACATTTGCTGCACCAAAGTTTTCTAGTTTGTGTACAGGCTATTTTCAATTTGCACGAGTTGGCCTAGTGTCATTCTTTTCCACCATTCGCCAGACGATTCCTACAAATCTGTCAATTCACGAAGCTGTTACACATAACATTCGTTACATCATGAGCTTCCAAGGGAAATGCCGCTTCGGCAATAAGAGTTCACTGTATGCATCGACGTTCGTTTATGAACTTTATCAAACGCATATGTAAGGCGATCCGCAGGACCAAGCGAGACGACTTGAGCTTTCCGTTACAAGATACTCTCGCGACGAATCAATGTTTGCCAGCTCTTCCGCATGGGAAGTTTCAGTGTGACGTAACAGAGTGGTCCCCTTTCTTTCGCTCCCGGGAAGCTCTGTTTCGATATTGTTTCGATTGGGGTCTTTTAACGCGAGAGCGTTAGGGAGCTTGTTTCGCAGTCGGCGCTGGCGTTGGCGTCGGCGTCGGCGTAATTGGTTGTGAGCTAAAAATCATCATATTCTCCATTACCAAAAAACTGAGAAAGGCGCAAAAATATATCTAATACAAATGTTCGGATCCAAGCTAGGATTGAACCGAGGCCGTTTCCGCGTCAAGTATATCTGTTCTAACGCAGAGCCACGTTACTTTGACAATCTGCTGCGTAAAAAAAAAGAACATTGTATGAATGTCAAGTAGTGGTCGCCTTAACAGATGTAATATCACGTCAGAGAAACGTGGAATCGCACCCGGTGTCAAATCATGTGAATTGCGCATCGAGTGGGTGTTTTATAGGCCCACCCAGTACAAAGCGATCAGGCATGTTAAATCAAGGGCAGCAGCAAAAGCAACAACACATTGGACTGCTGCGTTGGTTAGCGTGTGGTCTTACGGGCGGGCATTGCGCCCTTCGCAAATTCAGAAGAAGGAATAATTATTAAGTAGTGGTCACTTAATTAACAACTGTACTTGCAGCTCGCAAACCGAAACCAAGCTAGATTTGATATGTGGGGTTTAACGTCCCAAGACCACCATATGGTTATGAGACACACCGTAGTGGAGGGCTACGGAAATTAGACCACCTGGGGTTCTTTAACGTGCACCCAAAGCTGAACACACGAGCCTACAACATTTCCGCCTCCATCGGAGATGCAGCGGCCGCAGCCAGGATTCGACCCCGCGACCTCCGGGTCAGCATCCGAGCACTCTAGTCCCTAGACCACCATGGCAGGGTGAAACTAAGCTAGGAAATGAGCAGGTGATGGGCACGGAGCCCGATTACGCTATCGTGTTGTACTCCTGCAGGCGAAACTTATGCGTCCTCAAAGTTTCAAAGACGATAGTTTTTCTAGAAATACTTGCACGCAGAAATCTTGGTCTGTCTGTCTATCTGTCTGCCTGTCTGCCTGTCTTTCACACGATTTACGCCCCCCCCCCTGCCAAAGTCTGAGCACTTGCTCCTTTACTAGAAAACACATAGATACGTAATTACAAAGACCCTAGTGTCTCTTACGGTCCGCTGAAAATGTGACGCTATGCACGAAAAAGCCCTCTGCCATCGATATGGTGCTGCCGTTTTGCAGGACGAAAATGGCACAAGAACACCATCACGGACTCATGTAGTACAGCTACAGTGACTACAGTACGGCTGGCTTAAAACTTTCAACGGGATTTGCAGCGAAGAACGCCTATACGTGGCCAATTTTGTTTTTAAGTAGTGGATAGTTATCTCAAACAACGTACATTTCTTTGTTTATCCAATAAATGAGTATATGTAGGTGCGTAGGCCTGTAATACCTTCATCTTTTACCTTTTGTTAAACTTAACTATGATACTTGCCACCCTCCCATACTTAGGTTTAAGACAGGGTACAAAAGGAAGGTAGTAAACGCCTACGCGATATAAATTGTGATGGCGTGATACCTTACTAATGTAAACAACTGTGCTCGCAACTGTGTTCGAGTTGAAAAACATTCATTTTACACGTGCTTGTAATTATTGTTTTCAACAACTTTAGCTGCGGGACAGTAGATACGGCTCAATGTAAAGTCCTTCGGCAAAGATGACATGTACGATACTGTCATATTATTTTCACAATAAATCTTTGTCGTCGAAAAACAAATCTATGTATGTCTTAGGTGAACCGTGGGACAGATTGATTATTCTATTACACTTTTTGAAAATAAAGAACGTTTAGGACGCCATGAGCGCAATATGAAAAATCAATTGTAACAACTAGACAAATTTCTTGCCTTTTGTGTTTTGACAGACACTCAGGTGAAGGTGACTTTCCTGCTTGAGAACAAAGTGGTCAAAAGCAAGAAGACGTCTGTGGTCAAGCGATCAACGGAGCCCAAGTTTATGGAGTCATTTGCGTTCCGCCTGGCACCTGCAGGGCTCAGTGCCGCCAGTGTAATTCTGAAGCTCACCTGCCTGGCACCACCATACAAAGGTCAGAACATTCTGGCATCGTTTTTCACAAACGCTTGCCGTTTTAATACCGGCATGGTACACGCACTACATGTGCTCTAGTACGTAATTGCGTACCGCCCGCTTTCGTAATTACGTTGACACCGTGTCGTACAGAAATTTATTAACTGTATTTCTTTTCATAACTAAACACAGGCGTTCGATTGGTCTATTGGGCAAGAAAACATGCAAGTAAGCAAAAACTGATTTTTTCCTATTGTTCTACTTTTGTTGCTTTTTTTACACGCTTTTTCTCTAGAAATTGAGGTGCGTGTGAACCAAAAACACCCGAAAAATACTGAAGGCATCTGAACATCCTCTATTCTGGAAGAAATTTGAGAAAAAAAGAAAAGAGAATACCCACCTTCGTAACTGCACCCTTTTGCAGCACCCGCCACGAGAGTTTACTGATTGCAGTGCTCGACTGCTAACCTGAATGTCACCGGATCGCATCCCTACTTCGGCAGCCGTACTTCGATGGGGGCGATATGCAAGGGGACTCGTACTTTGATTTAGGTACAAGGTAAAGGACACCAGTTCTCCAGAATTTCAAGAGCCTCCGACGACTGTGTCCCTCATAACCGTAGCGTGATTTCGGGGCCTAAAAGTCCAACGACTATTATAGTATCTTATGCAACCAAACCGTGTAGTCAAGGTAATATGGGCCTCAACCTCTCCACAGCAGGACAGTTATAACAAAACAGAATAACCAGGCAGGAGTGTGAGCTGACATTTACTTCGAAAACATGAACGTTGCAGATGTAAAATGACACAACAACCCTTATTAACGATCAAGACGCATGCTCGCCTATTTTCTTTTCCTTTTTGGCGTTATGTTTGATGCGAAATAGAAAAAAGTGAAGCGAAAGCGGTGTACGGACGTGACGTGCGTGATTAGGATATAGTTATGTTTTAAGTCTTTACGATAACGTTTCCAACTAAGAGTTGTTAGGTCGCGCTTCTGCTTGAAAACCTGGTCTCGTCGTTTGTTGGTGTTGCAAAACAGCGTGATGAGAAACAGAAATAAGGTCAGCGACAGAAGTGTACAGACCTCTTATTACAGTGAAAAGCTTCATATCCCGCTTCTTCGGCTGAGAGCTTCGAATTTCGATTCCCAGCCTTATCAGGCGCGCTAATAACATGTGCAGCGCATTCGTTGATCATATGTGGGGTTGAACGTCCCCAAACCACCATTTGATTATGAAATATGCCGTAGGGGAGAGCTCCAGAAATACCAACCACCTAGGGTTCTTTAACGTGCACTCAAATCTGATCACACGGGCCTACAGTATTTTCGCCTCCATCGAAAATGCAGCCGCCGCAGCCGGGATCCGGTCCCGTGACCTGCGGGTCAGCAGCCGAGTACCTTAGACCATCGCGGCGGGGCACATGTGCCTTGCAATTTGTTCGACTTCCGACACACTCTCAAATTCCTGGGAAATTCAAACTCTTTCCTACTATCAATCAGGTGATAGAGATATGTGCGGAATACAGCCAACCTCTATACACAGCTTTCTTATACATCTTCCTCTAAACTTTTTACAAATATTGTGTGTGTGTGTGGGGAGGGGGGGTCTAAAAGAGCCATATTGACAAACAGGCACGAGGCAAATTTTCTTTCACTTTTAAAACAATTGTGACCATAATAGGGTCATTTCTCCTCGTAACATCCTCTCAAAGAGGCAGTTTCAAATACAAAATGACCAAAATCCTCCATCACTTTAAATGAAACGTAGCCACATTCATTAAAACAGCACTGCGCCAACAATTGCGACCAAAAAAACTAAGATGGTTTCTTTCAACCTGTTCTGTTTGCGTCCTGCTTGCTTTGCTGTTATGTGTACGTTCCACAATTAGTTTTCCAGGGCAAGTTGGCCTTTACTGTAGGACATAACGTTGTATAGGGCAACACTCGAACATAAAGGCTAAAAGGCTGACTTTCTTACTTCTGTTTGCCTTGTAGTGCTTATTTTCGAGTTTAGCGCTAAATTTTGCTGTCCGTTCGTTCAGAGACGGTATATCTGAAATAGGAGAGAAATGAAATAAAGACATTGAGTACGAATCTATTCGGTAAAGAAGTGGTCCGAAACGGCATGGCATAAAATGAGCTGAGAAGAATAATAGCTGAAGCACTTTTGAAGGCCTTTAATGGCTGCCAAGGAAAATAATACACTGCCGACAGTCCTGATTAGTTCGCCTTTTACCAGGAACGACCACTTGCTCTTCAAGCCTAGTCATCGCCATTACGGCCATGCGACAAAGGACGGCACTGATGAAAGCAAAAGGATGCTGTGGGTTTTATCGCAAAAAGTTTTATTGGGAAATATTGTTTGGTAGTTGAGATTTACACTTGTTTAGCGAGCTATGTGAAGCCCCGAAATTGTTCTAATTTACATGGGTCAAAGACAATCAATACTGCCCAATATCGACAATATAGGGCTATAAAGATTTAAGCCGCAATATACAGTTGATGTATTTAGGAGACAGAAACACATTGACGAAAAATTGGAGCAGGCCCTACCGAATTGTCAGAAGCAAAAAAAACAAACTGCGTTAATTTTAGGTCTTCCTAAAATGAACTTGGTTCTTTAAAAAGTGAAATGCGGCACATATTTATACACGATGTTTGAGTGAACACCTTCAAACTTTTAGGAGGCTGCCTGTGACAGATAGCGCAATTCCAGTCCATCATATGATGTACTTAGAGCGACGTACATTACTTGCACAAGGAATGTTATATACATAACCAACCTATTAAACATCACTAATTATGTTCTAAATTTCAGCCTTTGTTGCTGATTACATAGTGTAGACGTGTAGTTCGTAAGATGAGCCCATTTGAAACGATTTCTCGAAATGGCACCAGTTTCCAGAATATTTCTGAACATAACGGAGAATGCATTGGCGCTCCATTTACTTTCGTAATAAAACGTCGTTCTATGCAATGAAGCACAAAATTAACTGGAACATCAATTCATACGTCTTATGTATTCAGTACATATAGCAAACACATTTAACTGCATATTTTTTGGACATGCTTGAACATTAGGCCTCTCGCGGCCGGCACCGCACAGAAGACCCATAGAGCCAATATATATGCGAACATCTGAAGTTTCGGACGCTCAAACTGTTGAATGCGAGATTTGCCAGACTTTTCACTCAAAAGGCAGCTCCTGAATGACATTGATTGAAGCCACCATCCCTGCCACGCTTATCCTCTCGCAGGCTCGAACCAGCGCTTTCGTGAGTCTCTGCGTTTTCAGTAGTGCACTACAAAAGTTTGCTTTGCTTCAATACTTTTCTGTCATGAGGCAACGCATACCAAGAAACTGAAGAGTCTTCTGCCAAGGGGCATAACGGTGTTGATAAAAACCAGAAATGTGCGTAGTCGTTATGGTGGCATGTGGAAAACACGCTTTCACGATTTAATCACTAACGAGCCTATCATGATAGGCATCTCCAGCTAACTGTTTGACTGGGCATGTGATATCAGCGGTTTTAGGCGTTCTTCACACGTTTAATTGGCTGTAAACAAAACATGAAAAGAAACATGAATGAAAAGGGACAAAGCTGCTGTGGAGGATCGGATAACATCAGATATGCTGAAAGACGGAGGGCAGATTGTGTTAGAAAAACTATCCACCCAGTTTACGAAGTTTGTCCTGACGGGGAGACTAATTGAACATAGAACAAGCTACCTCATTATCTCTGCACGTATGTTATTCTATACATATCGTCTGGCTGCTGGCATATTAGTTGCACCTAAACACGTGTTGCAAAATGGTGTCGGTACACATTGCTTTGTGACACTGTCATTTTAATTATCCGGAAGCCTGCTTACCAGTTTCATAAAGCTCTACTTTTAGTTAACCATCAAAACTTTAATTTATAGTTGCGTCGGTGAATATTGCGATAGTCACTGGGCTTAGTTTCCCTTACCGATAATATATGTAGTGTTAAGACTGCACACTTAAAAAAATTTGACGCTGTAGCTGCCGAAGAAAGAAAAATGTGATGCCTTGATTGATTGATATGTGGGGTGTCTCAAAACCACCAGCTGATTATGAGAGACGCCGTAGTGGAGGGCTAGGGAAATTTGGACCACCTGGGGTTCTTTAGCGTGCACCCAAATCTGAGCACACGGGCCTACAACATTTCCGCCTCCATCGCAAATGCAGCCACCGCAGCCGGGATTCGATCCCGCGACATGCGGGTCAGCAGCCGAGCACCTAAGCCACTAGATTAGCGCAGCGGGGCAAACCCGCTGCCTTGTCCAAAAAATTTCACCGTGTTTTACCATATAGTCGGAATAACCGAATACTGTTGCAGGCTAAGACGGCTTTTTTGCCGAAATTTATGATGAAGACCGAGCGATGAATGCAGTCCGGAAAATTCGGAATTTCCTTCGCGCTCAATTTCTCACTCTGTGTTCCTACCTCACAAACAAGCATCTGCGTACTGCCTTTTTAAATGTGAAACATTTCTTAGCGAAATTTGGTGACTTTGGCTATGTCTATCTATCTATCTATCTATCTATCTATCTATCTATCTATCTATCTATCTATCTATCTATCTATCTATCTATCTATCATCTATCTATCTATTTATCTATCTATCTATCTATCTATCTATCCACCTACGACTTTTAGCTCTCCTGGCCATTTCGATAATGGAATCTATACGAAAATTGGTACGACATATGACTGTAATACGGGCATAAGTGGCTAGTCATAACACGAAAATCTTGACAGGCATGTCATGAATGTCATGATTTATCATGTCATGGTCGTACTGCTCCTGCGCTGGTTTCGTTCACTTGATATATCACAAAACTGGTATGGTATGACATGACTGCATGGCGAACAAGAAGTGACAAGCCCTCAGTTGGAAATCATGACATGCATGTCATGTAAGTTATGACTACACGCCCCATTAATTGTGCGAACGCGGTCGTTTCGCTAGCTTCACAAATACCAAATTTGG